CCCTTTACCCCGCCGCCTCCAGCTATAGGCACGGGGGCTCGAGGCTGCCGCCTCCCCGCTCCCCTCCTCGAGGCTGGGGTCTGGGGAGGTGTGCATGGGAGTGCGTGGGGGGGGAGCAGGTCCTTGATTGGCCTCGTTCCCCCCCCTCTCCCCCCCCGCCGCCACCACCACCACCACCCTCTTCTCTTCCACACTCCACCCAGAAATGATCTAGTGAAACTAGGAGGAGGTGATTCTCCTCCTCCCTCCCTCCTGCTGCTGCTCCTGCTGGTGTGGAAGGGACTGCAGGAATCTCTGCTCTGCTCTGCTCTGCTCTGAGGCAGGGTTTGGGGGGGAGAGGAGGCCGTTCTGTGGAGAGAGGGGGTCGTGGTGGGCCGGAGCGCAGCTCCCCGCGTGTGTGGCGGGGCGTGCGAGGGGGCTGTTTGGTTACGGAGCATGGGGAAGGACCAGGAACTGCTGGAAGCTGCTCGCACTGGGAACGTGGCTCTGGTGGAGAAACTCCTCTCTGGGAGGAAAGGAGGGATCCTGGGCAGTGGATCTGGAGCTATTCCCTTATCCAGCTTACTGAGGTAGGGACATCATTCCCCATCGGATGCTGGGGATATTAACCTCCTCTTTCTTCTCATCATCAGCACCCCTCTCTCTCATCTTCACTTCCATTCCTGCATTCTTCACAGTAACAATACATCGTAGAAGTGTGCCTGTGTTTAAAGTCATAGGCAGTCCTTTTATTTATACAGTAATACTGAATTTTATGCCTTCAATGCGTCAGTAGGTACTTGTTCATTCTATATTACTAGCTCTGGTGCAGAACTTACATTTTTATTGCTGGGCTAATATGCACAATATATTAATCATTCTCATCTTTCCTTTGGTATTGCATCTTCAAATTACTACTTCTAATCTCTGATGGAAGTGTTAATCACAGAAAAGCAATTGCATGTTTGAAATTCTGTGTAAAAAGCCATAGCTTCACCCCACACCCTTGCCCATAGTTGCTACCCTTGCTTGCAGAAGAAATTAAGCATGCCATAGTAATGAGTCTATAAAACAAAGAATGGGAATCTTCTTATGAGAGGTCATCAAGACAGAGGATGTATAAAACTTACGGAGCAGGTTAGGTAATAGCAGCATTACTTTAAAGGTACCTAGATTTAGTGGAGTGAAACCAGGTTACTGGCCATGTTGGGTGAAAGGACTCAACTTCAGGCATTAGTCATATCTCAGGCAATCTGCAGCACAGCTCTGATGTTAAGTTTCATCATGCTATAAGATGCACAAGCATTTATGATATTTGACATTATTCAAACAGAGGAGGTCTGCAGCACATAGCCCGTACTAGCGTTAAACACTACACTAGGCATAGCAAAAGAAGACAAAATGAACTGAAACGCTGTTGACCTAGAACTAGAATTGTTTTTTTTTCTGGAAGGAAAGAAAAGGCCTAGAAAATGGAAATTACTTAAATGAAAATGTATTTGAGATTGTTTTGCCAGTACCTCCTGGTCACTATATTTTATTATTTCTAAGATTGCCTATAGGAGTAAATTTGGTATAAGTATGAAAATTATACCTGTTTGAACTCTAAGGTCTTTTTATTTTAAAGGTATTTTTAGCACTGTAAATAACAACAGTGTAGAGAGTCACAGTTTACCAAAGTTCTATGATGTCCCAGTTCAATTAGCTATTGAACTATTATTTAATTACTTGCCCATTGACCAAAATCAAAATACACTGTGCAACTGCATTTTGTACCAGTGTGTTTTGTACTTTAATAGGCTGTTTAGCAAGAACTATGTCAGATAATTGGTCACATTTAAAATATAAGTCTCACTTTTTAAAATATGGTATCTGTTTTTGGCAAGAATGGAATTTATAATCCAATTCTACTGGATGATTTGTGTAATGACTTTATTTAGAGCTAGTTAGTGGCTGTGCTATATTCTTGCACTATTACTGTCATGTTGTGCATCACAGATGCTGTCTATCCAGAGGGAGTGTATTTGTTTGTTTGTTTTTTTTTTAAACAGAAGTGTTTTGCTTCATATATACAGAACACATTCACCACGTGTTTTGTATTTACAAATGGGTCATGACAGTTGTTCGCTACTGAGAATTTAAGTGTTTCATATCGTAAACTCAAGCGTATTCTTTTTCTATTAGGACGCTTAGCTTAAATAGGAGAAAAGCAAAGAAAAACATGCCCTGTTTTATTTACAATATTTTTTTCTTATTTTATAAAGAACATTTATAGCTTCTGTAAAGGTAACTTCAAAAACTAAAAATTTAACATACAGCTGCTAAAATTTTTCTAATTTTAAAAAAAGCTATTTTAGTACATTCAGAAAGAATTTAATAATGGACTGATACATAAGCATTCCCAATCTAACATGCTATTGAACATAATGCTTTTCAGAGAGGATCTTAATAATTTCATTGAGGAATACTCAAGATAGAAACTACTATCCCTTGCAGAAAGTATTTTCAAGAAAGAATTCTATGTGCTAGGTATTTTAGCATACCTTTGTGTGAAAAAGTTATATGACTTAGCTGATGCTGGTAATTATAGATATAATGGATTAAGTCCAGAATGACGTGCAAGATTAAGCCGAAAGAGTTGGATGCTATCTTGGTACAGAGCACATGCAAACAACGAAAGGGTACTGAAAGGGAGTCATACTAGCAACTGGAGTCTATTTAGGAAAACAACACTTCCTGCCAATAGCAAAGTTTTAGAAGAGCCATAATTTTACTGTATAAAAGTGTGAAGTTGATGGTGGGGGAATTTGACAGAAAGCAAATTGATGTAGCTTTATACTTACATTTTTTTTTTGTATATGGTTTATTAGACTGAAATCTGGTTTTGACAGGTATTATAATGAAGGACAAGCCATATTAAAAATAGAGGGGCATATTTTTCTTCTTGTTATAGAATGAAAATATTGTGGGCTGTAATAATGTCTTTAGAGAAATGCCAGACTTCATAGCCATTGCAGTTTCATCATGCTTTTGGGATCTCTAGGAGATATTGTACTTGATGGTGTCTCCTAGTGTTTGATCATAATTATTGCTTAGTTCCTGAAACGGTGCCCCAGTACGGCGCCTGTCCTGTTGTGGTAAGAAAGGCTCACGTTGCTTTTTCAGTTCCTTTTGGCAATGCTGTTCCTAGCATTAGACTGAAGAAGTTCAAGTCTTTCAGCATACAAGTGGGTTAATACTGTACCTGCTGTGTTGGTCCCTAAGTAACAGTACACTTTCCCTTCAGTTCCTCTTTCTCCAAGTAGCTGTATAAGTGCTGGACACAACTCAGCTCATATGGCTAACCTTCTGTGACTTGATGCATTTCTTTGTCTGTGGAAATTTGCTTGTGCAGTAACTATGTACCTTGTAAATAAAATTTAATATTCATGAATTGACAAATGCACATCGATTGTCTTCTGAAACGAGGAACAAAGTCTATCTGAAACCTGATCTTCTATTTTCATTTTTATAACATTTTTTCCTCCAACTTCTGGGATATTTTACAACATTTGGAGGAAAAATAGGGGAACCCTTTGTATGGTTATTTAATAGCTGAATATTTTCATTGATGTTAATTACTTAGTAAATTAACTGTTTTTTAAAGGTCTGATTTTTCACTTAAAAGTCATTATGTTGAATTACGACCACGGTTTGGGACAATACCGCTGTTTAGGAAGGCTTTTTAAGCACACATATAAGTATGTGTATGGATTCCAGTGGGGACTTAAAGACATACTTAAAGGAGAACCATGCCCTCTAGAGAGGTAGCTAGAGGCTAGGTGGGATAAACTAGCATCTAAAGTTGCACTGCACATCTATGTATAGGCTACTGACTCCAAGCATAACAGCAGTTCATGGCAGATCTGGGATCTGTTCTTTAACTGTGAACATATTTTGAGATATCTTGGAAAAAATTAGAAGACAGGCAGTAAGTTAAAATTTCTTTTCTCTGTTTCTGCAGAGATTGTACTTCCTGGAATTGTCACACAGTAGTATATTAACTGTATTTTAGAATTTTGCAAAAAAATATTTTATGGCTGTAATAGATTGTAAAGAATGGAGGAAAATTTTCACTGATTTTTAAATGATTTCATTTTTTTTTGTATTATTGTAGCACAAACCAGAAAAAATGGGTGCAAAATCCAACAGTTCACCTAAAAGAATGTATCGTTCAATTCCTGTATCCCAAGCCTTAAATATACATCAAATAATTTAAAATATACAATAATATAAGGTGATGTAAATTGCTTCTAACAAAAACAATATTTTTCCTTATCTTTTAATTTGATTGGCCAATAGAACTATGTTATGTATATGTGGATAATCAGTTTTTCTTCAATGGATAGAGACATGCTTAATTTCTTTTAAAATGTTTTAGTAAAATTAACTTTAAAGGTTTTCATAAATCTCAGAGACCTTCTGTCATTTTGCAATAGGCAGTCACATACAACTCTTTTTGCCTTACTTATATATTACAGCATAAAGAGAAATGTTTTTGATAAAATGCTAACTTTTAGTCTTTTTATAACTTTAACTACATTTTAAAAGAGCATTGGATTTTTGAGGGAACTAAGAGACAGAATGTGAATTACTGTGAACTGGCACAGAGTAATAGAGAAGGGTGAGTTGGCCCCTTTTTGCTGGTTGTTGGCTACTTCTATTACACAGCATGGAAGGGTGGAGCAGGCTGCATGGAGCTGTTTTCCCCTTCCACACTTGGCAGACTGTGGTAGGGAATGGCTCCGTTCTTGCTTATTGTTACTTAGTACAGCTACACCATGTATAGGTCTGGCCCAAGATAATTCTCCTCTAAAGTATAAGAAACCCAGCAAGCAGATTGTCAGTCTGTGAGTCACAATCTGTTTCCTCATCTGTTTCTCCAAGCAGCGTCTTGCTCACAGCAAAGCCACAGTTTAGCCCTGTGGCCTCAGTGCGCGCTGAGAGCTCCTTCTGTGCTTGTGCAGAGCCCTGTGATTCTTTCAGCTTCCAGTGCAAAATCAGATCACACTTAAAAACTGTTTGTAGAGCAGAAAATATTTACAGTGTTAAAATATTTTTATGAAGCTTTAGTTAAAATTTTAACAAAGTTATTTTCACATTTTAATTTAAATAATAAATGAATCCCAGTATCAATAAAGATACTCATTCTGTTCTTCGTTACAAATTGCATTGTTTGAAAAAAGAGAAACAAACTTTCTTAGGTTGAAGTTCTCCCATACTTCTGAGGTCACTTTTAGTCCCATGTTTCTATGTTAGAAGCTATTTATTTCAGACAATCAGCACAGATAAGAGACTGGCAAGGATTTTTTTTTTTTTTACATGTAGGTCAACAGGGCATCCAATTAGTCTATGCTTATTTCTAATTTTAGTTATATTACTTTTAATTAATACATGCAAGTTTTTGAACTGATGTCCCAAGCAGCCACCAGCATTCCTAGATTCCCAAATGACTTTCCTTATCCTGTCAAAGTAGTTTGTTTAAGTCTTTGGGGGATGTATATTTCATTTTTCTTCCTTTTGTCTGTCAGTGTGAAATGCAAATTGATTA